GGAGTATGGCCCCCTTGGCCAGGCTCTAAGATCCGGACGGGGGCCCGAGGGGCGGGGCACCGACTTTCGGGACGTTTTAGTGGGAAAGGGCTGCTCTCAAAGTGGATTATCCCAACTACCCCGGGGGCGGCTCGAGGGGATGCTCCCCCGGCCGCAAGTACGCGAAGAAGACAACCAACGAACGTGAAGACGACCCGGACTCACGGTCCTCGGACCCCTCCGACTGCTATGGCTTCGTTGCGTACTCCGTGAACTCGGGAGAGAAATATCGACTCAAGACCAAGACCTTCAGCAACCAGCCTGCGTATTCCTGCACGCCCCGCTCCGACCCCGATCGCTCCCCAACTCCCTCTCCGTGTCCACCTCCCTCTCCATGTCCACCTCCCTCTCCATGTCCACCTCCCTCTCCCCGAAAGCTCCGGTGCGTGGACCAGCGAGAACCGGACAAGGATGAAAGACTCGAACGCCACTCCAAAAGGAGAAGGGCCAAAGAGGGGACCCCCAACGATACGAATGACCTTATGTGGCTAGGGTGAGTGAGGAGGCAGGGAGGACCCCGAGCCGGCAGCATCTGCAGAAACAGTTCAAAACTGCAGAATCCCATTTTTCTCCCCGTCGTGTCAACTAGGCAAGTGGTGGCACCGGTTGATACTGTAAACAGCTAGGCTTTTGGAGCCAAGAATCACAGAAAAGAGCAGAAGATCCGGAACCGATGTTGGAGGTGTAATACGTTGGGGACTCAAGCTGGAGCCGGGGTTGTAGGTTTTAAGTGGGAGCTGGAGGGATTAGAGGATTGTTCCTTCTGGCCTTAATAGGCAGGGGTGGGGGTGGGATTTGACCCACCAAGGCCTCTAGACGCCGTAGGCAAAGGTGTTGGTTCTCCTCGAGACAGCTGGGCAGAAAAAGCCACCCCCCGCCTGCCACCCCCACCCATGAGAAGGGTGAGGCTGTTGGAAGGAGAAGCAGTTATGTTTTCAGCTGGGCAAACATGGATGGCGGCCCATAGAAATTTTGTCACTATACTTCAGAGAGTTGCCCAAGTCACTGGAGGAGAACAATGTGTTCCCTTTCCTGCCATCCTGGGCCACTGAGAGGGGAGGGAGGCCAGAACCGTTTCCTCTTGGGTTGAGGCTGGTTTTGTGGCTTCAGAGTTGCTGTTCTTTCAGAGGTTTTGTGGTGGTGGCTTGCAGCTTCTAGCATGCCTCGGCTTTTGAAACTCCAGACCTATGTGATTTAGAAGTGGGAATTTCCTAAATCCTTGAAAGTTCTCCAGTGGAATCTCAGAGTATCATTCTCAAACCTACCTTCTAAAGTGAGAATTTTGCCTCAGACTGATGGAAGTTAGGGCAGTGTGCACCTTAGAAAACAACTCGGGTCAGCTGCTTTTACATCTTGGTGATTATGCCTGCAGTTTTTAGGAAGCCACCAGCCTTTTCAGTCTTTTAGCTAGCCCTCTTGTTTCAGCCTGCCATCTAAATGTGTGGATTTTTTCGGAGGAGTGAAGGAATCTTCAAAAAGTTTTTTATTGAGATCCCTGCTAGGCTGTAAGGCAAAGGGAAGACTCACCCAGAAATCACAGCAGCCAAGCCTTTCCGTGGCTGGGTTTTACTTGTATCTGTTCTGTAAACTTGTGTTTTCTGAATTTTTGTATCTTCTTTTTTGTTGTCCCCCCGCCCATCTTAGTATAAAAAAAATAAAACAATTCCCCTACCTCTGCTACACTAGGGAAATAGAGCTTTGTGCTCACAGGCATAGTCTCTAGCTTGAGGAAGTTTATAATGAGATTTTTGTCTAATATAAAACTAATCCTCCTGAAAGCAGAGTAAATAAATACAGCTTTGAGTCTGTGACTTCTAAAAGGAGGGGTCACCACCCCCCTGCACTGTGTGACTTCTTAATTTCATTGTCCTTCTTGAGTCATTCCTGCAGAGGATCAATTTAGAATTGGTGTTCTTGAAAAAAATTTTATTTTCTCTCTCCAGAACATCTTCCACCATGGCCACCTCGGCGAGTTCTCACTTGAACAAAGGCATCAAGCAGGTGTACTTGTCCCTGCCTCAGGGTGATAAAGTCCAAGCTATGTATATTTGGATTGACGGTACTGGAGAAGGGCTGCGCTGTAAGACCCGGACCCTGGACTGTGAGCCCAAGTGCGTAGAAGGTGAGATTGAGCAGAGCGGGGAGTACGTGCTGGATGGGAGCCGTGTGGGGGTGGGCAGCAGCCTGAGACCAGGCCACTAGATTAGGTCTCTTCTGTTTGTAAAGCTTTTCTAAGGCAGGGCTTTTCAGACTTCATTCAGTCAACATTAAGCTCCTACACTGCCTCAAAGCCTGGCAACAATGGACCCCTTTATTTAAATGGAATCTTGCGTGTAAGCCAGTATTTAGAAGACAAAAGATTAAAAGGCTGGTTTGGAGGGTGAGGGGGGCTGGAGACTTTTCTGACTTGGGTATCCCTACTTATTTGGCTCTAAGGCACCCACAGGAACTCAGTTTAAAAAACCACTGCTCTAAGCTGACTGCACCACCTACTTTACAGTCTCTTTGAATACTCGTGTATCATTGGGGTTCTAGATGCAAAGCAGATATTCTAAAGTGGTTTCTAAATAGGACTAGCCATTCGCTTTTTAGTTGATGACACTTTTGGAAATTCTTAAGTCATCTAATTGCTTGTCCCACTAGGAGTTGTTGTATAAGAATTGTGACCTTCCTTTTTGGTCTAGAACAAGCCATAGCCCTCTTCCTTCTGGAAATGGATCAGAGGAGAAAAGCTATCACCTCGTACCTACTTTTAGGATAGCTTTCTCCTCTGATAATGTTCACATTTGAGTGAATGAATGAATGTTCATGATACAAAGCATATATTGCTATGTGGCAGATATTGGACAGGTGCTGGGGATACAAGGTAAGGGTTTGGTCTCTGCCTTCAGAGAACTCGTGGTCGGTTGAAGAGGGGAAGAAACTGGCCTTTAAAACATAGTGGGAAAGTAGATATATGATCTGGGAGCATCTTAGAATAATTCATCATGCTAGTTTGTCTGTTTCCTCATTTGTAAAATAAGGACATAGCTTAAACTAGGACAGTCAGTAGACATAGTAGGAGCTCGAATTAGAGAAAGAAGCAACACAGATGGCCTAGTGGGGGAATCGAGAATCTTTGTTTCTCCTATTTCAATATATTAAGTGATGACTGACTCTCTGCTGATGTCAGAACATTTCCGTTTGTCTCCTTGGTGTCCAGTAGACTTTTTTTTAAGGGAGGAAATGTCATTCTTTGGTTGTTCTTGTTATTTCTTTTAAGAAAGTGACAGTCTTATTAAACTCAGAAAGGACTCCAGGGCTCCATGCAGATGTCAGGGTGTGCATAGTTATAGTGGCAGTCACATATCACTGACTCTCTGGAAAGGAAAGCGTAGATCTTTAGAGGTAGAAAGGTGATTGAGGGGCTGTGTGCTTGCCTGGAAAGCTCCTGTGCATTTTAACTTAATTTTCCCCCTTCTTTTTATCCCAGAGTTGCCTGAGTGGAATTTTGATGGCTCTAGTACTTTTCAGTCTGAAGGCTCCAACAGTGACATGTATCTCATCCCTGCTGCCATGTTTCGGGACCCTTTCCGCAAGGACCCCAACAAGCTGGTGTTCTGTGAAGTCTTCAAGTACAACCGAAAGCCTGCAGGTGTGTATGGGATAGCTATGGGTGCCCCACCCCAATCCAGGAACACTGTAAAGGAGAGGGAAAAGATATGCCAAAATCAGTAATGGGAAGACTAGAACTTTTTCAGGAGTCTGAGGGATTGGACGTGCATCTCTCTACCTTGAACTTACTCATTCAAAGAGGTAATGTGGGCCATTCTCCCATGGTCTCCTAGTGGTTACATGAAACGACATTGAATTCTAAATCTGTTTGCTGGTGGAGCCCCCTGTGACATAGCCCTCCTGCCTGCCTGTAGATTTTAAGAATATAGATCCTGAAGTTAGAATGTTGAATTCTGGATCTGCCACTTACTGGCCGTGAACTTGGGCCAGTTATTTATCCCCTATACTCCCATTTCCTTGATTTTAAAATGAGGATTATATTAAAATCCATTTCGTAAAACTGTTTAGAGAGTTAAAGGAATTAAATATGGGCAAATAATTGAGTAATATTACATAAAACACTGGTTGCTAATTCATTCCAGAGAGCTTGTTTTCTTCTCTGTTCATCCATTGACTAAAATATGAGCACCTTGGTTCGCCAGGAACATCTGTTTGTCTCAGGGTTTGCTGGACCTGCATCTTTGGGTTATATCAGGCGTGCCTGTTGCTCCCAATTCTTAGCCATTCATCTTTTTAAAGCTGAGGTCTCACTTCTGGAAAGTCTCTTGCTATACTTTGCCAGTGAGACTTTTTAGCAAGTCACTTAGTGGCTCTGGACCTTAATTGTCTTTATTTTGAGAGGCAGTATCATATTGTAGTAAAGAACATGAGCTGCGAAGCCAAGATAGGCACAGGTTTGCTGGCTGCTCTGCTGCCTGCCCTGTGACCCGGGTGGGCCACCCAACATCTCTGAGCCTCATTTGCTCACAAGTAAAACTGGAGACTTATAGTACCCACCTCAGAGTGGTTACGAAGACTCAACTGTGGGTTTTATTTAATATAAAAGCCTTAAAATGGTTCCTGGGATATAGCTAAGCCGACAATAAGTCTGCACTTATTTTAAAGTTCCCCTCTAGCTTAGAAATTGTTTCCAGTTGCGCTCATCTCATTTTAATATTTTTGTTTTCCACTAGCCAGTACTGTATAACTCAGCACTTAATCTTCTCACCTGGAATGTAAGGCTCCTCATACACAAATGTTTCTCTCAATAAAAATTACAGATTTTGCCTCAAAACGCCCAAGAAACTAGGCATAACTCTTGACAACTAGAAGCAACTGCCTTGTGAATAAAGAGTTTAAGTGTCCGACACTTGGTACTTGGGAGGTGTCCAGGATACAGATAAGGTGAAAGCTTGTCTGTTCTGGATCCACTGTCATGTGACTTGGTTGTAGCTATAGACTTTGGATAATCTCCCTACATATGTTTAATTACAGCTTCTCCCATTTTCCCCTCTTATGCTGATGGGACACAGAAAGGTTTACACTTGGGTCAGTTCAGCTTATAATCAACACTTAGCCTGCATGGACTCTGAAGACCGTTTTTTCCACCCATCAATACTGGGAGTCAGTTTATTTGTCCACATATCTCAAAAGGTATGTTGACTCTTTTTTTCTAGAGACCAATTTAAGGCATACCTGTAAACGGATAATGGACATGGTGAGCAATCAGCACCCCTGGTTTGGAATGGAGCAGGAATACACTCTCATGGGCACAGATGGGCACCCTTTTGGTTGGCCTTCCAATGGCTTCCCTGGGCCTCAAGGTAAGTTCCCTTGGGGAGAGGTGAACCTGCCCTTCCTTCCTCCCCAGCTGTTTAAGTGGCAAGGAAAGTCTTTCCCCAGAGATGGCAGTGACTCCTCGTGCATCAGAAAGCTAAAGGAATGTCCCTGAGACTGGCTGGTATCATGCTGGCCCTCAGCATTACCCAAATCCAGACATGGATGTGTAGACATTGACATTGAGGGAAAGCCTTCGGCTCCACTGAGGTTAGAGCTCAGAGGAGCCCCCTGCCTCACTGCCCCACCTCAAGGCGAAGGCAGGGACAGTGATTCCGGAGATCCAGTGTTGGGAGCTTTTTGATTGCCGACTTTGGGCCGTGCATCTTAGGTGGATGTTCTGGATTTCCTCTCGTGACATTTCATTTTGATACCTCTGCAGGTCCCTACTACTGTGGCGTGGGAGCGGACAAAGCCTATGGTAGGGATGTCGTGGAGGCTCACTACCGGGCCTGCCTGTACGCTGGCATCAAGATCGCAGGGACAAATGCCGAGGTCATGCCCGCCCAGGTAAATGGCTCTAGTCCACTGCTTTCCCCACCTATAGGCAAGCAGGGTACTTATGCTTTCAAGGGCTGCAGATGCTCCTCTCCTTAACCCCAAACCTAAGTGGCGAGAAAGGAGCAGTTTCGGAACTTCTGAGCAGGGTGAGCAGTTGGCTTTATTTTAAAGGCCAACCTTCTTGTTCTCTCTAGTGGGAATTCCAGATAGGACCCTGTGAAGGAATCGACATGGGAGATCATCTCTGGGTGGCCCGTTTCATCTTGCACCGAGTGTGTGAAGACTTTGGAGTGATAGCAACCTTTGATCCCAAGCCCATTCCTGGAAATTGGAATGGTGCGGGCTGCCACACCAACTTCAGCACCAAGGCCATGCGAGAGGAAAATGGTCTGAAGTGAGTGCCTTCTCCCGCTGGGGCCATCCTATGCTCTGTGCGAGAATACTTGCCAAGGATTCGATGTACTGGGGAGAACGGAGCCAGGCTTCTCCGTTTGTAGCTTAGCTCTTGCTACTTGGCTTCCAAAATTGTCTTCTAATCCTATCATTTTGTTCCCGTTTGAAAAGTGCCAAAAAAGTACCTTAGGAATAGAATTTAAGGGTGGTGATAGGGAAGACCTGCCATAGGTTAATGGCATTCGAAAGTCTTTAATAAGAACTAAACTAGTAACAGTGCAAGCATGTGAATGAATGTAATGCTTATGGGTGGGAGAAAGTCTTTGATTAGGATCTTTTCATTCAATAAGTGTCATCTATTGTGTGTCCGGCACTATTCTGAGCAGTGGGACACCAGGTAACAAGGCACGTTGTTCAGTAGGGCCATGTTGAGGTGAATTGGAAACTGGAAGAAGCCTGATAAGTGTCACTGTTGCATCCATACCTGCACCTCTGCCCTTGGAGGGCAGATTTCCTGGTGACAGGTCAGACCGTTGTCTTTTCTGTTTCGTCTAGGTACATTGAGGAGTCCATCGAGAAGCTGAGCAAGCGCCACCAGTATCACATCCGAGCCTACGATCCCAAGGGGGGCCTGGACAATGCCCGGCGCCTAACTGGATTCCACGAAACCTCCAACATCAACGACTTTTCTGCTGGCGTCGCCAACCGTAGCGCTAGCATCCGCATTCCCCGAACTGTCGGCCAGGAGAAGAAGGGCTACTTCGAAGACCGTCGCCCCTCTGCCAACTGTGACCCCTTTGCGGTGACAGAAGCCCTCATCCGCACGTGTCTTCTCAACGAAACTGGCGACGAGCCCTTCCAGTACAAAAACTAAGTGGACTAGACTTGCAGCCGTGGAACCCCTTCTAATTCTTCATCCTACCCCCCCTCTCGCCCCCCTCTCAATTGTCATAATAGCTATATAACTCAAAGGGTGGAATATCAAGGTCTTTTTTTATTCCTCATTCCCAGTTAATATCTCTTGCTTTCTCTGGCAAGGTCGAGTTCTTAATCTCTTCACACACACCCCCTTTTTCCCCCTATCACTGAGGCTTTCTAGTGCGTTACTGGGGAGTGGGGTGGGGATACATAACCACTGCTTCCATTTAATCAGGTGTGTTTGTCCAATAGGCATAGCTATCTGGACTGTGCGCATAGTGTTTGTGAAGGGAGGGGAAGGACTTTTTCTCCGAGGTAGCTGAAGGAGTGGGGGAGCTGGGCTTATCCCGTGGTTAAGTTCGATTTCCCTTTGTGATGGGAAGTTCCATTTCTGAAAAGGTTATATAACCAACTTTCTAATAAAACTGAGACGTAGGAGAGAGGAAAGGGTAGAAATCGGGCAGGAAAATGGCCTCTTACTCTGGGGCAGTGCTTCCCTTGTCTGGGACTAAATGCCCTCACTCGACAAGCTCAGCATAAAGGGCTGGGATGGGTAGCCCTACCTTAGAAGAAAAAGTTCTCATTGCTTGATCCTCCATTTATAACACAGAGTAGTATTTTTATATTTAAATGCAAAAACAAAAAAATTATATATATGGGAGTACAGATATGTGTGCTTTTTCTAAAGGATAAAAACCATCCTGGTCACCGGGAGCCAAATTTGAGGGGCATGGTCTGATTAGAAATAAATGTCTCCTTCGGAATGGGGGTGAGGGTGGCGGTGCTTGAAAAGTTGGCTGCGTGGGCTGTGATTCCCTCACTACCACTTAGAGGTTTCCCTGTTGTCTGCCCACGCTTCTGGAGGGGGTGGACATTGGTCAGTTAACCAGTGGAAGCACATTATAGGAGCAGCAGTCAGTCATCTAGCCCTGTGGCTTTGGCTTAAGAAGTACACATGTACACACGGGTTTAGAAATATGAGTTGGCTGGTCAACTTGAGCATGTTACTGACAAGGGGGTATTGGGGTTATTTTCTGGTGGGACTAGCATGTTACTAAAGCAGGCCTTTTGATATATTAAAAATTTTTTAAAACAAAACAAGTTTAGATTTTGATCATATTTGTAGGGATTTTAAGTCTTCTACAGAATTGCTTGTTTGCTTCAACTGTCTCCCACATCTGCTCTTTGAGGAGATGGGGACAGGAATGGAGTCAAAACACTTGTAATTTTATATCCTGGTGTCTGTTCTGAGTGAAATATTCCTTTCTTTTAAGTTTCCCAAGGAGTTATTTTTTTTTCTTTTATAATAAAAACCAAACTCCACCTTTATCCCTATGTTTTCCCTACCGTTTCTGGCTGTTTCTGTGTTGGCTGTGGCAGGCCGGCTGTGGGGTTTTGTTTTTTGTTTTTTGTTTTTTGTTTTTGCCATGACAACTTCTAATTGCCATGTACAGTATGTTCAGTTAGATAACTCCTCATTGTAAACAAACTTAACTGCCCAGAGCAGCTCTAAATCAACCATTTACAAGATCTCTTCTGACTTGATTCTTTGTGATTCTTTTTAATCCCTGTGTACCATTTCATTACCTTCTTTCCTACCAAAAACAGGTTTTATGTTTTTTTTAAGAGGCAAAGTTAGCTCAGATTTACCTGTTCTTGGAATTTAAAAAAAAAAAAAAAAATTGAGTCATGTTGCCAACCATCTCTTCTCTGTCCTTTGGGTGTTTGGGATCTCTGAATTAAGGCATATCCCAGCCCTAGAGTTTTGTAATAAGGTATAAACCCCACCACTCCTGAGCTCCAGAAATTGGTTTTGACCTATCATGCTATAATATTGTTTTGAACACCCCTCTGGCTTAATTTTATAGCAACCTGAAGTATTTGTGTTAACTGGTCACACTATCCCTACTGGTCTCAATTTAATTCTCTGCCCAGCTGCCCGTGATTCATCTAAATAGCAAACGTTGATCACATTGCTACCCTGTTTGATGTCTTCCAAGGCTGGGTGTGCCCGGGGCTAGCCGGCCCAGATGTGCCCTGGACATGCCTTTCCTTGCACTAGACCGTGATTCCCTCAAAAGCTCCATGTTGACACCTCTGTGTCCTGGCTCTTGGTCCCTTTACCTGAAAATTCTTCCACCTCATCCTGGCTTATTCACTACCTTAGTTCATTTCCATACCAGCCTGGAGCTTCTTCCTTCTCCGTGGTGTTGTGCATGTAACCTAGCAAAAGCACTTACTCGTCCAACATTTTAACCTCCTAAGGTGCCAGGTATTGCGGGCAATAGTAATTACTGTTATTGAAAGGTAGTGTCTTCTATCAGTTTGGAGGTAGCTTGTGCCCATTACAGCAAACATACAGGTGGTAGTTTACTTTGGGCAAGTGCATAGTTTGCTCTGGTCGTTTGGCTCCTGACAATTTGATTTTCAGAGTAGGATGATCTTAACTATGGGTTTATACACCTGATGTTTTAACATGATTATTAAGTGTTCCTCCTATCAGTGTTTTCCTTGTTTTGCTGATAAATTACGGTTCTTATTTCAATGCAAGCACTTCACTCCTCTCCCTGGGTCAGCCCTGCAGTTCTTGGTGGAGCGCAGCACAAGCACTAGATTGAGGCGGCAACTTGAGCACTTTTTGCTCATTGTAACCAATTCCCTGACAAAGATTACATGAAAAGGAATTCTAAATATGATCAGTATTTAGGTGGAAACAACCACTGTATTTCCTCCTCTACCCTCTTACCTAGGATTAGTTTCGACCTTCAGGTCACAGTGCAATCCCCTTGTAATTCTAAGGTGTTTTTTATACCTCATTTAACAGATACTGGGTTATGTGATAACTTTATCATTGAGAGATTAAACAGAATGACAGCCAAGCCTTGGGCCTTAAAGAGACAGAGGCCAGTAGTCACAAAGGGAGTTCTGCATTTTAAACATGATTTCTCTTAATTTCATCCTGCCAGTTATTGGATAAGAGCTAAATGACAGCACTAGCTACTAGAGGAATGTCAGGGAGTTAAAAGGATTCCAAGGAGATCCTTGGTTGGTTACTGCCGAGGCCGTTTAACAAGCCAGATTTGTACTGCTGGGTAGGATGGGACATCAGTAGATAAAAGAACTTTCTAAGTAAACACTTGGTGCTGGGACTCCGACTATCTCACCAAGCGTGTGCTTAGATAATTCCAGCTACTGCTCTGCTCTTGTACCAATAAGGTGGAAAGTAACTTGCTATCACAAAGAAAGCCTGTCACTCAACAGAACTTTCTGATTGTCAGCTTCATGAAGGCAGGGATCCTGTTTTTCTTTCTCGGGACTGTATCCTCAAACCTGTCATGGCGCCTACAGTACTTAATGAATTACTTCAAAGTATCAGTTTCGTGAGTTGTAAAAGTACAACTTGATTGGGTCATGTCAAACCCATGAGATCTTGGTGGTTTGGCTGTGTTTTAACCCTGGTCATGGCACTAAAGCGAGGCTCTGTTAGTCACTGAGTTTTTGACAGCTCTGCTGGCTTGGTTAATTCTGGCTGCAGTCAGGCTTCCAAGAGCCTCATGTTGCTTTGTGAGTTATAACTAATATAAAGTGGCAATTCATCATGTAATTCCAGAGGCTTCAGGTAAATTACTACTATAAACAGTTTGGGCTGATTAGAGCCCTGCCACTTTATAGCTTTTAACTCAATCACCAACCACTCATTTTAAAAAATGTCATACTTGATTTTCCAGTATCTAGATATATGCACGATATAGATGTATACTATATTTGGGCATGTGCATATATGTTTATTTTAGGTACACAGTATAAGTATCCTACATGAACCTTTTGCCAAAGATACAGTATCTTACAAAGGAGAGAGGACCTTATGAATATCTCTTTCAGAAGCAGTATATACTCAGAGAATTCACTGGACTGAGACGCTGTAACCAGGAGCAGAGGGGCAGGGCATAAAATTTATAATTATTCTTAAAGCATTGTTCTATTGCCAATTCTTTCTAATTCTGCCCTCTCCTGTGCTTTATAAATAGAAGGTTCTCGGGCACTGTCGACTATTTGTCTATGATTCACAGCCCAGAGGCCTTCTGATATAAGGGGGTGGGTGGTGTCCTAGTTCCTTGTTACAGAGGAAGTGTCCATGCAGTTCCTATATTGTCATTTGATGAGTTGCTTTTTGAGGACCTTGGACCTCAGCAAATTGCCCTCTTATAGATTTCAGTTTGAGTTACTTGCATTGCCTTGAGGTTGCAATTTGTCTCAGCTTTCTCAACTCCTCCACCATATGACATAGTCAGCAGATCTGTTCACTTATCTCCAGTGGGTACACATTCACTAAATCTAAACTCTGTGAAAGCCTTTTTGCATTTGCCTTTTAATAAAGGTTCAGAATAACTGCTCCCTTGTGACTATTATACTACTCTATTGACATTAGATGAAAGAGGCATTTGAGATCTCTCCAGAACTTAATAAACAAAATGGGTGCCAACTAGGTACTATTTTGGCATTTTGGTGCAAGCATGTGAATGAGGGGAACAAGTGAATGGAAATTCTTCTCTTGCTCTTCATGCCTCTCCCCCTACAGCTAAAAGAGTGTCATGGGCATCACTTGTCAGTATGGGACTTCCGGTCCTATTGCTATGTGTAGTAGCTTACCCTCAAATGATTTTATGAGCTGTTTTGGTAACTCCACTCAAATAGTGCTATAGTAGGAATACTGTATTGGTAGAGGGAAGGTGGGGGAGGATTTTTTTTTTTTTTAAGTGAACTCTTGTTTGGTCTTTCTCTGGGAAGGAATTTGCTATACGTCAAGAGTTAAATTGAGAGACAGTCCAGTAGGAGAATCCACTTCCCCAGGGCTTCTTTTATGAGAGAGGATCATAAAATGAATGTACTGGGTTTCTCCTTCTCAAACAATCGACCACCAGACTCATTTTTAGGTAGGCTAAGGATCCAGAAACTGCCAGCCTATTAACATTTTTATATAAACACATTATAGCCTAGCTCACTTAAGGCATTAGCCAAGTAAGCCTTCGGTAAATGTTTGTTGAATTAATTGTCACAGAAAGGTCACTACCAGTATTACAGCTAAAGGAAGCGGATAGAATTCCGGGGTGGGGGGCAGTTTATTCACAAGCTTTAATTTTCGGTAATAACAGTTAGTGTATGAGCTGCCCCACACCTGCAGTTAATCCAAAATTCCCTGTTCTAAAACTGCCTCCTCTCCCAGATCCCAAATGGAGGGCTTTTGGGTGTGATCATCCCAACTGCTATAACCTGGAAGCAGCTGGATCTTCCAGGTTCCTCCCTTTCCTTGAGAGTCGGGGAGGGGTGAAGAACAGTTGGGAACATACACAGACTAGCTGTCATTAAATGATTTTTATTTCTACAGAAATTGACATCATCCTTACAGCATCTGCCTGAGATAAGCTATGGACATCCTTGATACTCCTTCCATATTTAGAATTCTGTGCTGTGAACCATCATGTTCAACAGTGAAAGGAAGTAGTCCAGGGTGGAATTTGCTTTATGGAAGGATAAGTGTTCTGTTCTAATCTATGACTACTTATTTGTCATTCAGATTCACAGCTGAATTCAGAAAGTCAGGTATGTTGGAGAAGTCTGAAAGAAATGAACAAGTCGTATCTTAAAGCAGCAGCATTTCTTTAGGGGTGAAAAATTTATGAGGCAACATTTTAGTATGAGTAGTAATAGGAATATTAATGATTAATGTTGGTTATTTCTTTCCCTTTCTCCAGCCCCCAAAGCAGGAGGGTGCTCTGGGAGCCATCCGGGGAGCCTAGAGTAGGCAAGAAGAAAGAGACAGTGTCTACAGGAACCAAGAAAGCCCCGAAATGTGTGTTTATGCATATGAAGTTAATTCCTAGACTGGACTCCTACAGGCCTTCCATCAGAGACATCTCCCTCCCATCAAAATGCCCTCAATAATCTTTGTAACCACTTCACCTGTATAACAATGTCTGGAGAAGACTATTCACGCAATCTGAATGATTCCCTCTTCGTCCTAGGCTAAACTTTCTCTAATTCTAAAGAAAAAAAAAAAAGCTTTATGGATCCTTCCTTCTTCTGATACTTAAGAAAGACAGGTAAATCCTCAGCAGACATAGCATAAACCCAGAAACCTCCAAAGACTTCTCTGTTCTTGCCTCACCATTCCCAGGAGGGACCCTAAGAAGGCCAAATTAATATTTCTGCCCACATAATCAGGATTTGGGAGCCAGGGACATCACCAGGGGGACAAGGTTATAAGAAGTCACTTCAAGAAGCTTGAAAATATTGGTATGGCCCACCCTTTTGTCTACACAACTATTGAAAAACCAATAAACACTTCCAGGGGCTACTAAACCAATGAAAATTGTGCAAAGTTTTTAGGAGAGATGCTGACTGAAAATTCCAGAGGCAGCGACAGAGGGTGGAAAGAATGGAAGATTCTGGTTCCAGTCCTTATATTACGTAATCACTGAGTCTCTCTTTACCAACGGCCACTCCCTCCCTTGTCTCTGACATGTTCCTGATTCT